AGGTAAATGGAACAAGAAAGCTAAGAAGAAATATGTGTAGAATTCCGCCGACAAGCATGCCAATTGCAACAAACCACCGACTAGTAGAAAAAAGAAATGATTTGTTTTCCTTATACTTCTGCTAGTTTGGTTCCCCTCTTTGGTTTTGTCTTATGTTTTTTATGCTTGGAATATTTCTGGTTTTATTAAGAGGTGCTTAGTCTAGCTTGTGGTTTAGTTTTCCTCTTGGGTTTATTTTGGTCAGCTTGTGGGGTTTGGGCCACCCCCTCACTTTGTTGCATTTTTTATTTCAATAAACTCGACTGGGCTCCCTAGACCCGATCGCTCCCTTCCGGGTGGGCTTTCATGCATAGTGGATTGGTGACTTGGTGTGGCTCTTATTTATTCTTCAATGTTATTTACAGGGCAACTAAGGTGCCGGATGATTGGCGGAAGAGTGTTGTGATTTGTTGTACTAAGTGCAATGAGATATCCAACTTTTTAGTCACACCATAAAGGCAGGTTTAAGAACTTGTCATTGAGAGGTAGTAGATTGAGTAAAGTGGGGGGTCTTTTTGAGAATCAGATAAGCTTGGTTTCATGTAAGGCCCTTTAGGTGCTTTCCATCGTATCTATTGTCTTAGAGAAAATGTATTATAGGGTTCCAAGGGAGACCTTGTTGAGATGCCTTGAGTCTAGAGGGATTCTAGATGCATACATCCGTGTGGTGAAGGACATGTATGCCGGGGCGATGAAAGATTTGAAGGCTGGTGGGGGTGATAGTCAATTTTTGGGTGGGGATAGGGGTATGCTTTTAGTTCTTTCATCTTTTCACCGGTGATGGATGCTCTCACATAGCATATCGAGAGGAGTTACCTTGGTGCATGCTAGTCGCTGATGACATTTCGTTGATTGATTGCTCTTGACTCAATGATAAGTTGGAAGTATAGCGGGAGGACTAATGGGTGGGCGACCGAGTCAGAGTGGAAGTAAAAAGATTGATTCTCTTCCACTAATCCAAAGCTTGAAGAAACGGGTTTTGGTATCTTGGTTCGGTGGTTGAGGCATATGGAGAATTTGACCGGGATGCCCATTCACCATGTTGGAGCCGCTTAGGCAAAGTGACGTTTAGCTTCCCATGCCCGTTCTAAGTAAAATTTGTGGTCTTTTTTAATGGAAATCCGGGTGTACATTTTAAGTTTCTTACATCTAAGTGAAACATGTCAATATTGTCAATATTCATTTTTTCCTTTGCATAAAAAATGAATAAATTGACACTTAGTTTGTGACATATAGCTAGCTTATTTTTAAAATTTTTAGAAGCCACAAAATCTAACTTGTAGATTTATTGTAAGTATGCTCATAATCTGCCTTTTTCATGGAATTTTTGCTGTGTACTGTGGAAATTTAACACTCGTTTCAACAATTGAAGTTTGTTTTTCATCTTCATCATTATCGTTTCCTTTGTGGTTTATAGGTTTTCAATCGAACAGCCGAAGAAGTCAGGTAATTCAATGGCTTCCACACCCCGCCCTTTTTCAGATTTGTCCGATTGTCTTCCTAAACCTATGAGATAAATATTTTTGATGTATGAAAGATCATAATGCGTAATCTCATTGGTTTATACTTGAGAACATGATGATGCCGACGAGTTTCACATTTTTCCTTGAACAGAACTGAAGAAGAAAGTGAAACAGGCGACACCGCATGTTTTGGTGAGATCTGCAGTTTTCATTCCTTTGTATAACAGTGTTGAAAAAATGGTTTTGTTTTCACTTTTTTTCTTTTGTTCTCTCTCTCTAAATAAAAATGCTTTTCAATGTGGCATTAACTATGAAATTTTCGGGTTGATACATGTCTTACTTGTAATGACTTCCCTTTCAATGGAATAATTCCTTTGACTTGGAGCAAGACCTAATGTGTGATGTCCTTATTATGGGGGTTAGGATGTTGGACTCACCACACTAGTAATGGCTCTCAAAACGGCAATCTGCAACAATAAAGCCGTCCTGGATTGGTCTCCATCTGAGTGCATCTTTAAGTTGATCTTTTTACTCTGCCTCCCGGAACTGGTACACGCTTTATCTATCCTTCTGATTTAATTCAGTCATATAGCTGTCATTTCTGCTTACATTACCTATTCTTTGATTGGAGCATTTTTTGTTTACACTCTTTTGAAATTTCTCTGTTATTTTACTTGAACAAGACATTGCAACTTTTGGACACAATAGACACTGAAGAAAAATGACTCTTTCAATAAGTTAGAGGTTAGATATGCCACCCTTGAATAAACAGGGCCAATGTGACATGAAGTTGGCCTTAACAATTATAGAGGGATTTTTTCCCGTAAGTATCATAGGCTATGAATATTAATTTACTCCTTTAGCCATGTGCCACAAACATAAAAACGGGTCTTCAAATGAATTCCACAAATTTGTTCTAAACATTATTGAACTTTCGGAACACTTTATACGTTTATTTTGTTTCCTTTTTTTGAAGTTGAAATGAAAAATGTGAAAACAGTTCTCTAATTTTGGTACCAATATTGCAGAAAAAGACACTAAAGGCAATAAGAATGATTGCTTTCAAAACTGAAGAGCTTCAAATGACAAGTGTGTCCATGGCACGATGTGGAAATCTTCTCGAGCTAGCTCTTCTGCTTATGGTGGCTTGGGAAAAGCTGTTAGATGAAAGCACCGACTTAGATGAATGCATTACGAAAGAGTTACAATGGACAGTTATTGAGGAGATTAAATTGTTTTGTCACATCGGTTGTGAGGAGGTTCTCAAGGCACATAAGCGTAGAGAGAAATTGTTGCTCTCTGCAGGTTTGATGCTCCACATTTTTGAACAAGCTGGTGGTGTTCTTGACAAGTTTCATCTTTCAAAAAGAACAGAGGCATGTTCTAATGATACATTTGATTCATTTTAGCTACTTTGTCTCTTTTTGGTTACCCCATGCTAGAGGAATACTGAGTTCTTCATGCCATGATCTAACCATTTCATCTCAGCATTTTATTTTATTTTTCTTGTATTTTTTTACTGATTTTTATCTCATCATATTGATGCTTTTGGAGCCTCCCTCCCCTTAAATTCAGCCAATTGATCGACATGATCTCGCAATNTTAATTGTTTTAATAACTCCTGAAATGACTTTTTTTATTTGCAAACTTTGGCCTCTAAAAGAGGATTTTGAATGCTAGCTGTGGTGTCAAAGATTTGGTTGTACGGAGTATTAAAAAAGCTAAGATCAAACTAAAAACAATGTTTGAAAACCAGACCTGACTTCTACATGGACGAGGGAGCAGGTCAAGGGTTAACCGTTTGAACCAGTCAGCTCAGGGTCAAGGACCTGGTCAACTATAGTTAATCTAGTACTGTAATATTTTATACGTAGTTTTATGTTATTAGACGGGGATGCCTATTCACCGTGTTGGAGCTAGGGGTGGACACGATACCGGTACGGTACCGTGACCGGCAACGTTACTGCCAGTACCCACCACCGTCACCGCCGGCCTGGACGTTCCACTGGTTCCGGGAATCGGTACCTGCACCGCCCCAACAGTACCGGTTCCGGTACCCATTTTTCGGCACCGGCACCGGCAGTACCGGTTCCGATACCTCTTTTTTTGTCCAGGCTCCTGCGGTCCAGTCCCTCCATCTCCATCAAGGCAGCAATTCAAGGTCCAAAACTCCAAAGCTGCAAGTCAACAATTCCTGCAAAAAAAAGTAGTAAAACAAGTTAGTGGGGGGTGGGGGACACATATTTAAATAACAAGATTTAACTAACAACTACTTTTTTAAATTTTTTTATTTCATTCTTTCCCTTATAAATTGCATTTTTAGATTTTTTATTTCATCCATTCTTTTAACAATTGCACATTTGCAATTTTACACTTTAAATATTTAATAAAAAAGCAAAAAAAAAAAAGATAATAATTTGGGGGTGGCCGGTCCGTAACCGGTACCGGCCGGTCCGGTTACGGTACCGGTACCAAGGGGTGGCGGTACCGGAACCGGCGGTTTCGGAACCGGAACTGTCCTGGAACCGTACCGTGTCCACTTCTAGTTGGAGCCGCTTGGGCAAAGTGATGTTTAGCTTCCCATGCCCGTTCTAAGTAAAATTTGTGGTCTTTCTTAATGGAAAAGCGGGTGTACATTTTAAGTTTCTTACATCTAAGTGATACATGTCAATATTAATCACTAGACTAGGCCCAAAGAAGTCATTTTTTCCTTTGCATAAAAAATGAATAAATTGACACTTAGTTTGTGACATATATCTAGCTTATTTTTAAAATTTTTAGAAGTAACAAAATCTAACTTGTAGATTTATTGTAAGTGTGCTCATAATCTGCCTTTTTCATGGATTTTTTGCTGTGTACTGTGGAAATTTATCTCTCGTTTCGACGATTGAATTTTGTTTTTCATCTTCATCATTATCGTTTCCTTTGTGGTTTATAGGTTTTCAATCGAACAGCCAAAGAAGTCAGGTAATTTAATGGCATCCACACCCCCGTCTTTTTCAGATTTGTCCGATTGTCTTCCTAAACCTATGAGATAAATATCTTTGATGTATGAAAGATCATAATGCGCAATCTCATTGGTTTATACTTGAGAACATGATGATGCCGACGAGTTTCACATTTTTCCTTGAACAGAACTGAAGAAGAAAGTGAAACAGGCGACACCGTATATTTTGGTGAGATCTGCAGTATCCATACTTAAGTGTGTTGAAAAAATGGTTTTGTTTTCACTTTTTTTCTTTTGTTCTCTCTCTCTCTAAATAAAAATGCTTTTCAGTGTGGCATTAACTATGAATTTTTCGAGTTGATACATGTCTTACTTGTAATGACTTCCCTTTCAATGGAATGATTCCTTTGACTTCAGCAAGACACTTTTTTCACTTTGTATAGTTTTGCTCCCATATGAGATTAACTTGTATACTGGAAATTAATTGATAACATCCTTGAAAGATTCTTATCAACAAATGGATAGGGATTTCCCCATTAATTGTTTCCTCTTACCTGTATAGTCTTATCCCCTCTTGCAGGAAATGCCTACGCCACCTCCACCTCTCTTTAGTAACGCTATGATGAGGATTTTCCACACTTGTTCATTCCCTCGCGATAGTCAATTTGCGCCTGTGGCATATTGTGCATCAAGATCCCTGCCCCCTGGGCCAGTAGGTTTGAAGTTCTTAAACGCTAAGGGATGGGGTTTGTTTGCTTCGTCCCTTAAAAGAGGCATCCGCTTTGTCTAATCGAGCAGCATCAGCTTTGCAGATAGCCGGGAATACTATTTATTTGAGGCGAGTTAGTCTGTTTGGTCTTTATTCTTTTCTACTGCTTTGTTCTTACTTGGGGTTGGCCTTTTGTGCCTTTTGGTTGGTTCACTTTGGAGTGTGCATGAGCTGGTGTCTCTTAGAAACTTGTCCACTTTGAGTGGGGCTAATTTCTACCTACACATACTCTCCCCATATCTTAGTGGGCTTGTTGTTGTTGAATGTATGTGCGCATGTATGTATGTTTAGAAGATTGTTGTTTTAAATTTTGAACAAAAAAATACGGAGTAATAGTTATGTTGATTCTCCAGAATATTAGTTTTTTGCCATTGTATTAATACCAATTGTTTGATTAGTCAAAAAACCAAATAGCATTGTGGTTCCTTGGATTCTGCGCTTTGCTTATAGAAATTTGAATAGGCGCCATATATTAGGTATGTTCCACAACTTGTTGAGAAATAAAACAAATTATGGATGACATACTAAAAAATCTTAATTGAAGTCTCAACAGCTGGAGGCTAATCAAAGCATTAATATTATACTCTCCGTCTCATTTTATATTGCCTGTTTGTCTTTTTTCTCCGTCTTAAAATAAGTTGCTTGTTAGTTGTTTTCGTAAACTTTTAAAAACAAAATACCTAAACTACCCTTAGAATAAGTCACTTTTTTTCATCTTATCTTCTTATTCATCATCACTCCTCTTAAAAAGTAATGTCAATTTTGAAAAATTAACTCTATATTTTATTTTTTTAAATATGCCCAAAAGTCAAAACAGACGATTTAAATTGGGAAGGAGAGAGTACAAGGTTAGAATGTCAATAAGTTTAGCAATGTTTAGTACATATACTGAAATGAGAACCTAATTGACATCAGGGATACTAAAACACACTAACTTTTGAATTCCCTAAATGAAAAAAATGACTAATTTGATAATGTACACAAAAATAAAATTTTTAGGAACCAACTAAGTATAAAAACATTTAGGAAACTAAAACTATCTAGTCATATTAAAATTAAAATAGAGACTCACGTTTGGATATCAGCATACAGAGTTGCATGTACAAGCAAACCATCTTTTCTTGTCTCTGATGGTTTCGTCTTGAAATGCACTCAAGAACACAAACCTATATACTACCTCTGTCCCGCTTTGTTTGTCCACTTTTGACTTTTGGAACTGTTCATCTAAGCACTTTGACTCATCAAATTATCTCAATGTGTAAGCCTAAATATAGTCATGTGTGATCTTGTTTGATTTGTCTTAACATATAGATTATTAATATATAATTTCTATAATTTTTTAATATACAAATTACAAGATAAAATAGATTAAAGAAGTGCATTAATGGTATGCAAAAATGAAAGTGGACAAATATAGTAGGACGGAGGGAGTACTCCGTAACATATTAAACTCAAAATACAATAATGCAAGCTTTGCTATTTTAACTTCTCTTAGAATGAATTAAATCAATCTATACACCGTGCAAATGAGGTGATACGATATTGTATCGGGATAGGGAAGGTTGAGCACCTTCGAGCTATATAATTAGGGAAAGGAAGAGAAGAGAAAATCGCACGACACTTTGTTCGGCGGAATAGAAGAACGAGATGGAAGAGGAAGAGATTAGGGTTAAGGGAAAAATGATTATTCTTTCTTGATTGAATATTAACTCCATGGTGGTGATACATTTATAGCTAGAATATTGAAGGAACCCTAATCACAAAAGGAAACTAAATAAATTAGGAAGCTAATTAATTATCTAACAAATATAATATTCCCTCAGAAAAGTTAACTAATAATTCCTTACCATAATAATAATAATAATAATAATAATATAATAAAAATAATAAAAATAATATTAATAATAATAATAATAATAATAATAATCCCGTAACACTCTCCCCGTCTCGAAAACCAACTTGTCCTCAAGTTGGAAATCTAACGAGGAATCATGCGTTGTGAACGGACATCCTCCGGGGTCAAAGACCTTTATGAATGGATCATCAAAAGATTTGGTCAAGCTCAAAGCATTCACACCTCCAAGCAAACAACTCCACATAACGAATAAGAAGAAAATCTTATAAGCACGCGTGACTTCCCCATAATCATAAAGGGCATCAATGTCTCTTTCTGACGTCCCAAATGTTTCTGTGCATCCATAAAAAATGACACTATCTCTTAAAAATTTTGCTTGGACAGTGTGATCTTGTTGATCGTCACCAGAAACATCAATAACAATATCAACAACGGTAACGGGAACAACATCTATGAGATCAATTATAAGATCATCATCAGGAACACTAACAGGATCAATAAAAATTTCCTTTTCAAATTCCTCATCCTGCAAGGTTGTGTTCTACACAGGTACTGTAGGGGCCGAATCTTGTGGAGTACCGATGAGTTTCCTTATAGAGCGCATCATGGTTGTTTTGAAAATGTATAACTCTATAGGAGTCAGGCTCGACATAATTGGGAAACCACGAACTAAATCCTGTATTGAACAAGAGGCCTCTACGGCAAATGTATATACCTCAGAATCATATTTTCGTTGACCTTCAATTTGACGGAATGCCTGAAGTTTCTTTATAATCTCATCTACGGAATATTCAACTGCACACACTCCTTCATAAAATTCAATTTGTCCCGTAGAACTTTTTCTAGTAAACCAAGAACTTTGTCCAACATGGAGTCCATTGCAAAAATAAACACCACCACAAAAGTATCACCCAAAAAAATACCTCAAGCCGGCGATGATTTTGAATCAAATTTTTTTTTATGGTGCAATTGAGGTAGAATTTCTCTTTTGCTTTGTCCCGAATTATTCTCCACCAAGTTATATGGTCCACCAAGTTATATGGACTGCTCTTTGATGTGTGGTCTATGGTGGCGGCAATACGCTGGTCTCCTTTGATTTGCCACAAGCACCAAAGCGGAGAATTCTTGTGATAGAAACAAAATTGTAGCACCTTGATCTTCAATTGAGTTCAAGAATTGATATGGCGGCGGCGAAGCAGGTTGATTGAAACTTTTTTTTTTGGTTGTTTTTTTTTTTGAAATTTTTTGGCAAGTTCAAGAATGAGAGCACCAATTGATACGATATCGTATCATGATAGGGAAGGTTGAGCACCTTCGAGCTATAATATTGGGGAAAAAGGAAGAGAAGAGAGAATCGCACGACACTTTGTTCGGCGGAATAGAAGAACGAGAGGGAAGAGGAAGAGATTAGGGTTAAGGGAAAAATGATTATTCTTTATTGATTGAATAATAACTCCATGGTGGTGATACATTTATAGCTAGCATATTGAAGGAACCCTAATCACAATAGGAAACTAAATAAATTAGGAAGCTTATTAATTACCTAACAAATATAATATTCCCTAATAAAAGTTAACTAATAATTCCTTACAATAATAATAATAATAATAATAATAATAATAATAATAATAATAATAATAATAATAATAATAATAATAATAATAATAATAATAATAACAACAACAACAACAACGTTTGAAAGAAAATGAGACATACTTAGATTGTATACGATGTCAAGATATTCTAAACTACTTTACCATACTTTTCTTTCATCATCACAGATATTTTGGGAAGAAGAACTGGGAAGACAATGTAGAATTCTCTTCACAACTCGCTCTCATAATCAAATAATTATAATTTGGAGACACAACTGAGTAAATGTTTTGGTCTTGAGCCCATTTGTATTATGCACATTTTGGATCCTTTTTTTCCTAAATTAGAAGTAGAGTTCAATTCTTATACGGAGTATCAATTTTTAAAGGCGAAATTGCACCATTGATCCTTCAATTTTATCAATTGTGCACGATTGGTCCTTCAAGTTTTAAAGTTCATAAATAGTCTTTCAACTTTATGAGTCAAGCACGATTGGTCTTTCAAGTATACATCAATCTTCCGGATGAGGTCCTTTTGACAGTAAATTTTAAAAGCTAAATGAAATACTAGCTCCATATAACACGGAGTAGTCGTACCTAGTGGAATTTACTTATAATATATGAAACTAGTACTTCATTCAATTTTTAATATTTATTGTCAAAAGGACTTCATCTTTAGAGCTGACCTGTACCTAAAAAACTACTCCCTCCGTCCCAATTTAAATCGCCTGTTTTGACTTTTGGGCATATTTAAGGAAAATAAAAATTAGAGTTGATTTTTCGAAATTGACATTACTTTCTAGGAGGGGTGATGATGAATGAAAAAATAAAGTGAAGAAGATTGACTTATTTTAGGGGTAGTTTAGGTATTTTATTTTTAAAAGTTTACGAAAACAACTAACAGACAACTTATTTTGGGACGGAGAAAAAAGGCAAACAGGCAATTTAAAATGGGACAGAGGGAGTACTTATGAAACTTGAAGGACCAATGATGCAGAACTCATAAAGTTGAAGGACTATTTATGGACTTTTGAAACTTGAAGGACCAATCATGCACAACTGATAAAGTTGAAAGACCAATGATGGATTTTAGCCATTTTTAAATAAAAGAATTTTTAAAAACAAAGATTTTTTGCATCGTAATTCTAAAATAATAATCTAATTTGAGATGGAGGAATAAATAAAAATATGGAGTAGATAACAAAAACATTTTTAATAAGTAAAATATATCTAAAAAATAATTTATTTGAGTAAATAGAAATAATTTAATGATAAAATTATATAAGTAAAATAATTTTTAATAATTCAAATATGGCAAAAATATGAAAAAAATGATGAAAATAATGACTGGCCACTATAACGTATCACCTTAAATGCGCATAAAAATTACTCCCTCCGTCCTATATCTTTCTTCCCATTGCGCAAAACGAAGAAAAATCCCAACTTTTTTCAATCTATTTTATTTAAATATTGGTATAGAAATAAAAAATAAAACATACTCCCTCCGTCCCAAAAAGTTCGTCACGTTTAGAAAAAACTGTGTCGCGTAAAGTCCGTTACATTTCTATTAAAAAACCACTTTTACCCCTTACTTTTTCATACCCTACCTATCACATCATACCTTTTTTCTAATAATCTACCCATTACATCCTGCTTTTACCCATCACATCAAGGGTATTTTTGGAAAGTCAATACCAAAATATCCTCCCTTAATTTTCCAAAAAGTCAAACTGTCTCATTCTTTTTGGAACGGAGGGAGTACATATTTAAAAACTATATGAAAAGTTCAACAAAACAAGTGGTGACAAGAATATTTTATTTTAGAGTAAATTCTATAATTGGTCCTTTATAACAAGGAGGTTTCCCTATTTAGTCCTCTATTATCAAATATTATCCCAGTGATCCTTCTTTTATGGGTATCTTTCCACAAATAGTCCTTTTTTTGATCTTCTATCATATAGGTGTTAATTTGAGGGCTAAAAGTGTAATTTCACAATGATAATATATTTTTTTGTCATACACAATTCCAAAGGCTGTTTCGTTTGCGTCATTTTTGAATTACAGTCGCTTTTTACGACAACGATAGTCTACAAATGTGATCTTTCGTCAGAGTCTTAGCCTACAATCATAGTCATTCTTTTTGTGTTATCCGCTTAACCAATATCAGAATACGTCATTAGACATAATGTTCATATCAAATTGTACTTTTAGCCTTTAAATTAACACCAACACGACAGAAGATCAAAAAAGGACCATTTGTGGAAAGGTACCCTTAAAAAAGGACTACGGGGACAATATTTGATAATAAAATACTAAATATGGAAATCCCCATGTTATAAAGGACCAATTATGGAATTTACTCTTTATTTTATCATATATGCCATGAAAAAACACAAATAAATATAAATTTCCGTGAAGTTGGAATAGTACTCTAGAAAGAAAGTTTTAGAACGGAGGGAGTATTTCTTTTTTCATCCAAAATTAATTTTCTTACATATTTAGTTTGGTAATTATTTAATTCAGTGATTTTTTATCACTTTATTTTCTAAGCATTTTCCAACTCTTTTCCAATTTTTTTCAAATTGCTTCAATTTTCTTCCAACTCTTGTCGGTTTCTTCTACTCCTTCCATCCCGCAAAAAAAACATCCATTTTGAATAGTATTTAGTCAAAATGTCAAATATTTACACACTTTGACTACAAATTGTGAGAAATATATATTGAATGATAAAATAAATTTAATATAATTGGATTCATCTTAGGATCTAGTTTTGATATCTCAATTTTTTTTAGCATTTCTTTATTTAGATCATATTTAATTTATGGACAAAGTGTGTAACTATTTGACCAAAAATATGAGAATTTTTTGTGGGATGGACGGAGTAATATTCAACTCTGTTCTTACCCCCTACTAAAACAAAGACTAAGTGAGTGGGTGTCAAATAATACTCCCTCCGTCCACCTAAGATTTTTCCATTATGCGTTACGAGGCTTGACGGACTTTATTTTCAATTCAATTTAATTGATTATAGGAGTAAAATTTTAAAATAAAATTATATAGTAATAAACTAATGAAAAGTTTTACAAAATTAGAGGTGATAAGACTATAGTCCCTCCGTCCCTAAATAGATTACAAATTTTTTTCTATCTCCTCTCAATAACTTTTGTTTGTTTACGCGATTTCTTCAAGTATTTGATAAAATAAAATATTCTTGTCACATCTTGTTTTATAGAAATTTTGATGTAGTTTTTTAATATGTAATTTTTATATCTTATTGATATAGCAAATTGTAAATAAAATGATTTCAAAAAGTAAGAAATTTTACTCCGTAACCCATAATTTGTAATCAAATTGGGGACGGAGGGAGTATTATTTTACAAAATGACTTGTAAAATGAGCAAACAAAGTAAGTAAAGTTTGACTTAGTTTTGTGAATAGTGACTGGGAAGATCTATGGTGGACAGATGGTGTAATAAAAAAGGCCACTACATTCACATTTTATTTGGTAGAATGTGGATTAAGGTCTTGTTCCCTTCAACTTATCATTCCTATTTTTTTCTTATTCTTATTAGAATTTGATCAGATTCGATCAAATCAATTAGATCAGAATTATAAAAAATCAGATCATATTAGAAAAAATAAGTTGAATGAAAAGGAGCCTAAGCACAACTTTTTATTACTCCCTCCGTCCCAAATTATAATGCATGTTCACTATTCACATGGTCAAACTTTATTCACTTTCTTTCTATATTTTCGTTAGTAATAAAATAAAGTATTATTGTTACTACTAGTTTTATAGATCTTTTGATGTAGTATTTTAATATGTAATTTTTATTTTTTAAATACATATCATTTGTCATATAAAATGATTTGAAAATAAATTCAGTCAACCTTTGTAAACCTAAACAGGCGTTATAAAATGGGACGGATGGAGTATTAGATTAAGAAATTATTACTACAGTGATTTTTGAGGGTTTAGTGAATAGTGATAGTATTTCATTCCACATAGGGGTGGACACGGTACGGTTCCGGTACGGTTGCGGTTCCGGAACCGCCGGTTCTGGTACCGCCACCCCATGTCACCGGAACCGTCACAGTGCCAGCCGGTATCGGTTCCGGTTCCCAGACCGGCGGTTCCGGTACCAGACGGCCGGTTTCGGCCCCCCAATATATATATTTTTTTTTTGCTTTTTTTAATATTTTTAAATTATAAAATTGTATATTTGCAATTGTTTAAGGAAAGAATGAAATAAAAAATCTAAAAATGTAGTTGTTATTTAAATATTTTAAATGAATAATACACTAAGTGAAGAACAACCACATTTAATATCCTGACGGTTCAAAAAAAGCGACGAGGTAAAGAACCGTAAAGAAACCCTCGAAGGAGCTTATATATCGCTCACCTAAAAAAACTAATTACATATTTACATAAACATAAAAAAATTATAAATTATTCTTCAGAACTCGGACTTCCATCTGTTGTTGCATTCATGTAATGTTCCGATTCGAGTTGGTACGCAGCCTCTTGAGCTCGACGTCTTGCCAAGAGCCAATCTTGGTTGCAAACCAGTGTTTCAAGAGATTCAGCGCTAAGACAACTCTGAAAGTCGGTTAGAATGTTGCCGGAAGCACTGAATTCTCGTTTAACTGCTACAGTTGATACCGGAACGGATAACACTTGTCTTGCTAGCATCCCGAGACATGGGAACATGTGTTCGTTCCGCTTCCACCATCCGAGCACGTCAAAATCCACTTTGTCCTCATCGTAATCACATGGCACACTCTGGTACATAGCAAGTTCGTTGTGTGAGCTTACTGTTGTACTTGTACCACTTGAACTCGTTGAAGAATGAGCACGCTTCCCTTTCTTTGCAAGAAGACCACTGACTATTCCGGCAAAACCTTTTTTTGATTTCGGGGGCGGAGGTGGTGCTGTTTCTTCTTGTACAGTGCCGTATAACCCTTGATATTCCTCAAACAAATTCTCAAAAAAAAGTTACAGCATTATCTCTTTCTTTTTTCCATTCTACTACATGACTGTAGTAACAACTATTTTCATCTAAAAAACAATTGTAGTACTCCGTAATATTCAATTAAAATTTTGAAATTTTCAATCTTAAAGCGTGGATCACAAATAATACCTATTTTATAAATATCGGGAATGTAGAAATAATAAGCACACCATTTATCTATCATAGGAGAGACATTTGGGTACAAATCCGGATCAGCCTTACTTTCACGAAAACATGTTGCGATTGTAATGCACTCTTTTAAAAATGTATTTGTAGTTGGTTGGTAAAC